TCCTGCCACTGTGGCTGAGAAAGGGGACACTCAGGGTCACAGGACACTGAGCTGAGGACAGGTGATACTGGGCCACAAGGCAGGAGCTCCCTCTTCATCTTCAACACCAGTCATGGCTGGCTTTGGGGGTCCCCACCTGCTCCTTCTGCATGGCAGGTCCCCCTCCTGGGCAGATCCTGTCTCTGCCAGTTAAACCTGCCATCCTGTCCCGACTCTCCTATAGAACAGAGGCCACRCCCCACACCTGGCATGAGGAGCTCTGGCCCTGCCAGGACATCCCCATGCACAACTACTGGGCACACACCATGCTCCTAGTCCCCCACCTAGGCTACCAGGTGCCCTGCACAAGGCTCACCAGCTCAAGGCCAGCACCCTGCAGGCACTTCTGCCCATGTGGTGAAGTCTCAGTCCCCGGCGCAGCAGTGCTCTGAGAAGGAACCCTTGGGAATGGCTGAATGTCAGGGTTCGGTGCTCAGCCAGCCCCGCCCACAGGGGGTTCAGGCCCTTCCACAGTGACTCTGGACGGGACTCTGTTACACAGCAAGCAAGCATGCTCTCTCTTCCTGGAGTCTAAGAAGCTCTGCTCCATCATGTGCTCCCCACCAAGATGTCCTGACTCACCACAGGACCAGAACCAAGAGCCAAGTGACCACAGACCAACATCTCTGAGCCCGTGAGCCAAAATAAACCTTTCCTCCTTAAAGCTGCCTTTCTCAGATGTGTAACAGCAATGGGAAGCTGACACATGACTCCTAACACACACATTCTCGTAGCCAGGGTACCAGGCACCAAGGGCAGCAGCCAGGCACACCAGGTGCTGGGAGCAGGCACAACCCCTGCCCAGTGAGGGATGGATGGTGGCAACTGAGGAGGAATAACTGACTTTCAAATGGCCTGAAGGAAAAGTGCGAAGTCAGGAGGGACAAGGACAGGAGCTGTGTCAATCATCAGAGAACATGCCCCTTGGTAAGTGGCACCCAGGTGAAGGAACCACTGTGCAAAGACACTGGGCAGGGCAGGCTCCACAGCTGTTGTGGAAGGGCCAGCACAACAAGCACAGAGCAGGGGACATAGGGAGGCTTGTGGTCAGGCCACTCAGACCCATAGGCCACAGTAACAGTCCTGGTCTTTGATGACACCACAACAGGAAAGCTAAGCCAGTCCGCACTGTGACGAGAGTGCTTTCCCAGTGCGTGGCTCGGGCTATGAGAACAATCCCCAGCAGCCCTGGCCTCCCTCTGGCTGGGCACTCAGAGCAATGGCAATCAGCAAGCAGCCCCAGGGTGTGTGTGAGACTTGGGCTCCAGGAACACCGGGGACAACAAACGTCCCTCCAGCTGAGTAAAATGGGTCCAAGAAGCCTCAACCTGGACCCAACCTCCTTCCCCAGGTTCATTCAAGAAAACCCCAGGAGGATCCCCAGGCCCTGCAGATCGCAGTCAGCATAATGACCCTTCTGGGGCTGGAAGGTGCGGCAGAAGAGGAGGGGCGCCCTCCCACACCTGGCAGGCAGTGCTGGGAAGGTCAGTGAGCAGGAGGTTCCTGCTGCTCCCCGAGAAAGCTGCTGGAGAGGCCCTGGGGTCTGGCCAGCCTCACTTGCCCATGTAGGCAGGGTCACCAAGGGACCTTTGCCCAGCACTGCACACTGATAACCAAATCTCAAGCAGAGCCGTGGTGGCACCAGGCTGCTTGTTCACACGAGCCTTGGAGTAGAAAACCAACTGAATCATCCCAGTGACTGTCCAGGCCCAGCCATTGTGAGACTAATCAAAATTGGAAGAAAAAAAACAGATTGGGTATTTCCATAACAAGGAGCTTTAATGATCCACGGCAGCACACCAGCCTGTATCTAATAACCAGGCTCAGATCCCCACCTACCCACCTGGGCTCTCAGCTCAACTTCTCAGGGGCTCAGGTGGACAGGAGCATCCCACAGCAGAAGGCTCCATGGTTGTCAGGACTGGCTCAGAAACTTGATCTTTGCACACAGTTCCAAACCCTTCCCCAGGGACCTGGACACTATTTTGGGAGAAGGCCCTTCAGGCAGAGCATCTAACTCTGCTTTTTCTGCTCACCAGGAAAGGCAGGGTGGGGCTGCTTTGCAGGTCCACACCCCAGGTCTGCTTCCTGCTCCTGAAGTCCACTGCCTCTGATCGTGGCCTCCCGGCTCCCCCCATTCCACAAGCCACACCAACACCTCCTCATTCACGTCTCAAGAAAGAACATTCGAACAGACTCTGAAAACAAAGGGCATGGTCAAGGTCGARGGTCATCCCTGAGTTCACATGACCCGGCTCTGAGCCTATGCCTCTGTCAGTCAGTGGCAGGGGACGACGTGTCAGCAAAAGCCTCCTCTGTGTCCTGGCCCTGGAGCTGCCGGACTCTCTCACACCTGCTGCTGGCTCCTCCCCTCTGAGTCCTCTGGAGAGCACCGGGAGCACACTCTTCCCTAAGGGACTGTTCTCACAAAGGAGGAAACTTCTTGGCCTTATCAGACATCTGACTTCTCACTGAAACCCACGATGAATGAAAATTCATCCCAGAAATGCTGGGGCTGGAAAGCTTGCATGAGGTCACTATCCTGCTGAGGACCACTGAGTGTGTACCCTGGAAGGGACAGACCTGGAGACCCAGCCAAGACCCCCACTGTACCTGGTAACCTTAAGCTGCACTTCCCGCCCCCCTGATGTGTGTCCTCTCTGCCCACAGCAGGTACACAGAAGGCAGCTCTCACGGCTGTTTGCGATCGCCTGCCCTGGGCTGAAAGCTCAGAGTGTCCGGGGCAATGAGGATGGAATAGCTATTCCGTGACTCCAGGGACCCTTGGGCCAGTCAGGGGCCTGGCCCTTACAGAAAGATGTTACCAACCAAAGTAATGGTGGTGTCATTATGGCAGCTACAACAGCAGGAAGGCCACAGCTCTCCCAAGTACCAGCACTTTCCCACACAATGCTGCCTGTCCCAGGAAGGAGGAGCCACCAGTACCTCATTCTAATGACAAGGAAACTGATGCTGGGGGCACTGACCGGGCAATGTGTCCAGAGTCTGCTGTGGAGTCTGGCAGGTGGGGGAGAGTGGGGTCCAGCCAGCGACACAGTTCAGACCCCAGTCACCACTTTCTAACTATGGCGACTTGAGAAGCCACCCAACCTTCCTCCACCCATTCCTCGCTCACATTGGAAATAAGAGTAGCCTCCTGCTCGACAGCAGACCCGCCAATGTGCACAAAGTGCTTTAGAACAGGGCCTGGTGCCCCGTGGCTGCTCTGTGAGCTTCCTGCTGTCACAACTGCTCTCACTACACATCGCCCAGCCTTACAAATGGAGCTGCTCAGCAGGTCCCTGCACGACCATCATCCTTCAGAGGGATTCAGTAGGAATCCCTGTCCCAAAGGTCTATGCAGCTGCCAGGCTCAGCCGTGCTCCCCACACTGTCGCCTGAGGCAGCACTAGCACAAGAACTAACACCTGGAAGCCTCCTGGAGACAGCTCAGGGACAAGGAAGAGCCCTGATTTGCTGGCCACCAGCTGGGGCTGCACCCAGGATGGTGACAGAGACCAGGACTCAAGAGGTAGCATAAATGCCACAATTGTAGGAACACACAGCCGGTCCTTAAAAAAGTCAAGACTGAACCCTGGCTCTGCCCAGTCCCTTTGGGTGCACTGTGTATGCTTCCAAGCTTCAGTCTCCTGGGCTTGGAAAGCAGGGCTGGGGAACCATGCCCTGAGGGGCTACAGAGATAAAATGGACAAAGGAGTGCATCATCTCAGCCCAGCCCTGCTACGGGACAGGGCCTGGACAAGCAGTGGATCATGTCTTCACCCCAGTGCTTGGAAGAGCTCCCAGAGTGCAGCAGGAACTCATGGGCGTGTGGTGGGCTAAGCACAGTGACTTCACACCTCCCTTCATATGGCCTCCTGACCAACAGGAGGAGTGGAAATAAGAAAAATAAGAAACTCACAATTGAGAAAACTGAGGCTCCACAAGTCACCTTTCCCATGGCTTCAGCCCTAGGAAAGGACAGGAGTCCAGCACACAGGAAGGACATCCAGCTGCTGGAAGAGCAGAGGCCCTGGAGAGCACAACACAGGGACAAACCCCACCTTGCCTGCCACCCCCAAGACATGGGAGGCTGTGAGCAGCTGCCACTGTGTCCCCATCACTCCCAGGTGGGAAGTGGGCTCTGCAGCAAGGAGCGGCCAAGGGAGCGGGTGGGAGCCATGGGAAGCGAGGGAGGCTGAGGCCACCGTCCCTGAACATGTGGGAGAGAAGAACTTGGTCAGCAGGATGGCTATTATGTGACAAGAGCCTCTTTGTTCTGACAGAAAGAAACGATGTCACCTCTCCAATTATCACATAAGGAAAGTGCTAGCTCAGGCACCGGTTTCTCTGGGAGGCCGAGGACACCCACTGTTTCAGTGCTTTTCCTGGATAATGTGACTTTGTTTCTTGTGACCCCTGAGCCATTTTCTAGAGGAAAGAATCACATCTGTCCACACAAAAAAGGAGGCTACTAGGGAAATGGGTGGGGAGCAGGGAACAGCTGAGCCGTGTGCATCCAGGAGCACACAGGGTCAGCGTGACAAGCAGAGGGGGCTCTCCTCCAAGGCAAGCCTTGGCACAAAGGCCCGCGGAGGTGTCCTCGCTCCAAGCACAGCAAAGGGTCCCTTCTGGATGCCGAGTCGGGGCAGTGTGCCTGTGTGAGGTGTAGAGGCCACACTTGGACTCAGCCACACTCTGGCCTAGCCATGTCTACACAGGCAGGAGGGGCAGGGTGCCAACCATGCCCGGCGTCAGTCTCCACACTCTGCCCAAGAAGACCGAGGCCTCACTCGTAGGGAAGTACCTGCCTTTGAAACCACATTCGGCCAGTGCCACAGTCACTTCTGTGGATGACATATCCAAATGGCTGCTTCAGCCCTCAGACAGCACTCAGCCATTCCTGAGCCTTCCTCTGCCTCCTGCAGGCCCCTCAGCTGGGTGGCACCAGCCTCACTCACCTGGAACCTGTGCACCAGCTCCAGGGACTGGCTGTCATTCTGGTCGGCTTCAAGGATGACATCAGTCAGCTTGTGGATGATGACGTCCAGGGGGCCCTGCTCCTCGATCGGCCGGCTGAGGTTCAGCTGTAATGGGACACACAGAGCAACTTCAGCACCTGAGGCTACTGCACCCTACTACCTACCCCAGGCACAAGCCAGGGGACCCACAAGCCTCTGCAGCATACCAGAGAGGACGAAGCTCCTAAGGGCCCACTGACAGGACGAGACCCCTACAGCTCCACAACTCGTCTCTCCTAATTCCTAGAGAGCAGCCTCTGTGTTTGCACTCTGGTCCCCAAACCCCATAGCACCCAGGGGCAGAAAATCCACACACCCAAGTAGGCTGCGGAGTGGCCGTCTAGAGAAAGCATTACTGCACATGTCTCTTCAGCCCACGACCAGGGCTCAGAGAGGTTCAGTAAAATGACTCAAGTCAGACAGCAGACTGGATCTAAGTGGATATTCCTTCCACAAAACTATAAAAACTCTCAGCAGAGCTGGTGGTCTCAGCAGATCTAGGAGTTGCTGCCTCAAGTAACAGCGGCTACTCACTGCATACCGAGATCTGGGCTTGGCCTGACTGGCGGAGGTGTGTGGGCTGTCTGGAAGTCCGGGTTGCTCACCCTGCTCACTGGGAATGTGTTTGTTTTTTTAAGAGGACAGGGATTGGGAAGATCAGGCCCCAAGGGAGCCAGAGCTAGGGGCTGACAGCCAGCACCACCTGACCAGAGCCAGAAGCACCTGCCGCTAGGCTTCCTGACCCGCCAGCTGTCTGCTGCCGGCACATGGCCACCACCTGCAAGGACAGTCCCTTGGAGGCAGTGGCGTCAGCCTTGCACCTGGCTGACCCCCACATGGCTTCAAAAGAGGCCAGAGGAGGCCACAAGCCCCACCCCCAAGTGCAGCTTCCTCCAGGATGGAGGCTGAATCAAATAACAGCTAGGAAGGGTCATTCCAAGCAGCTATGTGCTCCTGGCTTATGTGTTTGCTCCAGTTTATTTCCAGCATCCCGGGAAAGGATCTCACAAGTGAAGAGAACGAGGCACAGACTAAAGACCTACCAAGATCTGGGTGGGAACGGTGGTGCTGCTGGGAGTCAAACGGGAACCCACAATGATGCCTGGCATTCAATCCCTCACCCCACCCACCACTGCCCTCTGACCAGTGCCAGCCATGCCCCAAGCAGCTGTCCTCAGGCCACCACCTAGCTCCTGGTCCTCTGGCCGGGTCAGGGCACCAGCAAACACAGCACAGAGGAAAGAGGTTGGGTGCCACCCTCCAGATGCACTCCTGGTTGCTGTCATAGCTCCTCTCCCATAATGGCCACCATCTCTATGGCTCCTATGACAAATTTGGTCTCCTTGTCCTCCACTGCTCCTGTTCCCTCCGAGGCACCCTGTCCCTTTTTGGCTCTCTCAGCCCTCCTCCACCTAGCCACACACAGTCCCTCCGCAACCCTTCTATTAACTTCAGAACGGGCAGCTCTTTCCTGACGTCCTCGACTCTGCAGGAAGGATGCTGAGGGCTCACCTCTATGTAGGGGCGCCCCAGACATCCCAGTAAGAACTTGACGCGCCCCCCCCCCGCCCGTGGGGAGGGGCCGAGGGCCCACGAACTCGCAGGACCGGAGGTCGCTGTTAGTCTCCTGGGTGAGGAGGGGAAGGGCCAGCCAGACATCTTCTGAGACTCGGGCACACGCTGGTTCTCACAGCAAGGCCAGGGCCAGGGGACAACCTTCCGACCCTCCCAGGTCAGGACACCAAGAGCGGAAGGAAAAATGGCCAGTCTAGCCAGGCAGCTGGAAGTAGAGAGGCTGGGCAGCAAGGCCGCGTAGAGTCCCTGCCAGGCCACCAGCTCGTTATCCCCCAGTCTCAGTCTCTGCCTTGGAAAGAAGGAGAGCACCAGGGCCTTCCTGGCTCTGTGTGTAGACCCCCGGACACCTGAATTTAAGGACACCTGAATTTAAAGAAGCCAGTGGGATGAGCTAGAGAAGGGGGGCACTCGGAATACCCACCAGCTTCTGCCACGTTCCACTGTGACGGGACCAGGACAAGAGGCCAGTATTCCCAGACCCAGAGAGCCACAGAGAAGCGGGTCACTCAAGTGATGCTGACACACACCCTGGGCCTGTCCCCACACTACAGGGAGACAAGTCAGCCTGCCAGGAACTGGGGTCCCCAATGACTGGGGAAGGAGGCAGGCAGAGGGGACACCCCTGGCATCACCCTGAGGCCTGTAGACCTGACAACCGTGGGTTGTTTGGAAAATGAGCTCTTGGCATTCCTGGTGAGCTGCTGAGGTAAACAGTCGAGTTCTGGAAGCCAGCCACCTGCCTCTGTGTATTTTCCAAGCACTTTTATGCCAGTGCAGCCCTTTCAGGAGAACAACAGCTCAGGACACGCAGGGGCCYGGCCCCTCCCCAGCATGGAGGCCTCCTGCAGGGTGCAAGTGGGGCCCTGGTGGCTCTAAAGACTTCTGCACCGTGCTCCTTCAAGTGACCACACATGCTACGATCACCCCACAGGGTTCTGTTCCTTGAAAATGCCTCAAGAGCCTCAAGTCTCTCCTCACTAGCTGAGAAAGAGGAGACAGGCCCCCAGAATACCTGAGGGGAGGGCAGTGGAGGCAGAGGACGCTGCAGAAGAGGGACCCTCAGGGGAGGACTCTACAAAGGAGACATGGTCAGGAGGGGACTCAAGGGGGTACCTCAGGGGAGGGGACACACAGAGGCCCACTCCCAGATGCGGTGGGAAGGGCCAGGCCTAAGAGACCCTGGGACAGGTGGTCTGCTGCTTTTCTGACCATACCCTGCCCTCAGGAAAGGGAGCTTCCCGAGAACTTCCTGTTCTCTTCTGCAGAAGGGGTCTGATCTCTCCCTCTCGGCACAGTGAGGGTGTCTGGATGAAAGGGCCCCCGCTGAGGCCAGAGGAAGTCTGGGTGCTCGTTTCCAAGTCACGCCATCGTGTGAGGCCCGTGTTGGACACCGGCAGTGTGGTGCTGGGGAGAACAAGGGGCCACTGTTTCCTTCAGCAACAAGGTCAGCAAGGCTCAAAGGAGGGGGCAGGGCTAGGAGGTGGGACAAAGGCCTGCAAACCCCAGTGGCCCAAGAGTCACCTCTGACTTTTAAAATGATTAACCTAATCATCCACAGCCTGGTAATTAGGCCAGTGAGGCCCTGACACATGCCCACCTCCCCAAGACTGAAACTAGGGACGGGCAAGGCAGCCAGACCTGGAGATCCACCCAGCCCTGCTGCCTCAGTTTCCCCACCAACTCCTCCCTATACCTCACAGGGCGGCCGTGAGTCCCAGAGCAAACATCCAATCCTTCCTTATACTTCTCAACTCACTCCACCCTGAACAGGAAGAACTCCTGTCTCACTATGTCCCCAGGACCCTTGGCACATCCCTGGAGGATGGCACCATAACTTCCGATCACAAGCCACTGGACTCAGGCAGCGACTCCCACCTGCTGCAGGCTGCTCATCGCCTCTGGCTGCGGAGTCCTTCACTGTGAAGCACGTGGCACCCAGGACCACAGAATCTGCTGCACTTCCTGAAAAGGCCTAACAGGCCCAAAGAACCYGGAGGCTCACAAAGCCACAACAGAGCCACGGTGGGAAACAGACAGGAGGACCCGGAACCTTCGCGGCCCCATCTGTAATGCAGGTGGCCTCGAGGCCCAGCACGCACACTCTTGCACACTCAGGGCTGTTCCTTGCACCCACACACAGGGACGCCCGATCCTCACAGCTGTCTGCACCAGGGCCATGCGGAGGCACGCTGTGGCTGAAGGCTCTGCTGCCGTCTCGTGGCCTCATGCCCACTGGTAATGGGACCTCGCCCAGGAGTGCCACTCACTCAGAAAACGCCAGCCACCGCGTTTCCGCTCCTCTGTATTCACACTCACGGGCCAGCGGGAGCCTCCCTGGCATCAGTGGGAGCTCAACACAGGCCAGAGTTTGGATACTGCAACTGTTGGTTGACTCACAATAGTGTCCCCACAGTGCTGCCACACCAGAGCTCACCATTGTGGTTCATGATGACAATTAGCCTTTACAAAGGGCTTATCCTGGGCTACAGGCTGGCTAACAAACATGGACAACCTGCAGCACAGATGAGGTCACTCAGCCACAAAAGTTTAGTGACACACCCAAGGGCACAGGGGTCACAGCACCATGGAAACCCAGGTGTCCCTCCAGCCAAAGCCAGACAAGTACCCTCCACTCCCAAGGCTCCCACGTTCCCAGCTTTCCTTCAGCCCCCTTCCCCCCATGCACCTCTGTGGAGTAGAGAACTTCCAACTGTGGCCTCAAGTGCAAGCCCTGTGTCAGAAGTGCTGCCTGGCCAAGGCTGAGACAGGGCTGGAGAGGCGAGAGGGCGGGTCTGCTCCACGCCTCTGCAGCCTCCTGAGGAGCTGAGAATCAGGACGGTTTGCCCAACTAGGTTTGGGGTTCACAAGCAGCAGCAGGGCCCCTGTGCAGGAGAGGTCGGGTCTGGGCTCCCCACAGGTTCCAAAAGGGAGCGGGCCCCGGAGTCAGTGCTGGCAGTGAGTCTCCTGGCAGGGTTTGGCTCCAAAGGTRGCCAGGCAGGGAGACGAAGGCTTTCCTTAGCAGGCAGCTCACTCCAAAGGAGCCCCACGTGTCCCTCAGCAAGGTCCAGAGCTGGAGCTCACCAAGACCTGCCAGCAGGCTGGACCAAGATGCAGCTGGTCCTCCCAGAAGTCTCAGCCCAGGACCAGTGAGGGAGGCTGGCGAACATGCTCCCTGACCTAGGTCCCCGGTCTCTCAGAATCTGTTTCCCAATTACTACGTAATGGGAAGAAGCAGCAACTTACTCACAGCAAAGGAGTGGACAAAATTTCCCCTCCAAAAGACAAGGGGCCAAGGCAATTAAATGGCCAAATGACAATGCCTGGTAGTTCCAACATCCTGGGAAACTTCCAGCAACTTTATTTCAAAGAGCCACCCAGCAAGCAGGGCTCTGCGAGAACAGGCTGACCCTGTGTTCTCAGGAGCTCAGAGCCCTGGTCTGCGCCCAGTGCCACAGAGTCAGGCTCAAGAGCAGATTAAAAAGATAAACACC